CTTGTTGGAATATGAAATGCCCTTCCGCCGTTTGACACATCTCAACAGATGGTAACAGACTCTCTTCCAGAATATCTCTGTACTTCTGCGCGTTAACAATTCCATCAACAAAATGCAGTTTACCAACACCTCTACCAGACATGCAACCCCAGACCATAACAGATGCTGGAAACTTTACTTTTTTGACTAAACAATCGCTATGATAGGCCTCTGAAGGTGTACGCAAAACCCGTTTTCGTGTGTCACCTACACAAACGTCAAATTTTGACTCATCGCTCCAAATTACGCTGTGCCATTGTTGATTCGTCCAATTTTTATGTTCTCGTTCCCATTTTAACCTGTTTCTCCTCTGCAGTTTTGTTAATAGAGGTTTTCCTTTTGCCTATTAGAAAAAAAATAAAAAATTGCCAAGAATTTAAACAAGAAAAAAAAATAAAAAGTTACCTTGTAAAACTTGAATCCTATTTTTCGAATAGTTCTTTTCGTTGTGGACATTGAAATAGGCTTTGCTATACTGTCCCTCCNACTAAGTGTACGAGCCCAGGCTCATAATAGTTCGGCCGGCCAACGTTTTCAACTAAATACTTTAATAATCTATGAATTATGCATAAATAACGAAATATTTCTGAAAATCCTTTTAACTACAGTCAGTAAAATATAAACTTTTTAGTTACAAAAATGAACATTTCATTCAATGCATATATCGACTAATGGTTACACAATAGAAAACTTTATCCGTCTCGGATGTCATAAAAGTTCGACCACTCTTTAATATTGAGTTACTTCGCCTTTATTCTTAATAACTGCTTTAATTGTGCTAGACATTGTATTTACTAACAAAGCACATTCTTCTGGTAGAATATTATCCCAAATATTCAGTAGTGGGGCTTTTAATTCAGGCACTGAACTTGCTGGATGTTTCCGAATCTGTTTTTTCATATTGTGCCATAAGGTCTCAATAGGAGATAAATCTGGGCTGGAAGACGTCCATTTTAATACTGGTATTTGATGATTCTGCAACCACGTTTTAATAGTTTTTGCCGTATGACACGGTGCACCGCCTTGTTGGAATATGAAATGCCCTTCCGCCGTTTGACACATCTCAACAGATGGTAACAGACTCTCTTCCAGAATATCTCTGTACTTCTGCGCGTTAACAATTCCATCAACAAAATGCAGTTTACCAACACCTCTACCAGACATGCAACCCCAGACCATAACAGATGCTGGAAACTTTACTTTTTTGACTAAACAATCGCTATGATAGGCCTCTGAAGGTGTACGCAAAACCCGTTTTCGTGTGTCACCTACACAAACGTCAAATTTTGACTCATCGCTCCAAATTACGC